ATTCACTACTCCTCTGATGAAGACCTAAATGCATGGGATTGCGTGCATGGGAGCCAAACTGCTATCTGGTTGCAGACTGCACCACACACTCACACATGTCCTGTGAAACTATTTTCAGGTTCTATTTAGTCCACAAAAATAAGCAGTCACAAGGCAAGATTCAAAAATGCTACACAATACAGGCATGAACTACCCACAATGCTGAATGTTGAAGCTGCACAGAAGTGAGCTGTGTCTCATATGTATAGAACTCTCCTTTCACCTTGCTTTTGTTGTTGGGGAACTTTATGTAGTAATGCTTCTGATGCTGTCATACAGTGAGGCCTAAACAAAACACTTTGGATTACAATTAAAACTTGAGTGCTCTTCAGAAAAGGAATCATCAATTGCTGATGATCTTCAGTTTCATTTCTGGTGTTTTTGTTGCAAATGTTATTAGCATTCGCAACAAAAGCAAGAAATCAGTCACCAAAATGGAAAATTTGATTGGAGAAGAAAAGAACAGTAAATTAGTAAATCTGAATAATTTGAAAGAAATTTCAAATTTAAATTTGAAAATTTAAAAAATAATAGGATCAAATAAAATTTACAGAGAATGTATAATCTTCAGACTATGATTTTAAAAAAAATCTATGAATTAAAATGAGTCATTATTTCAAGGAAAATTGAATAAAAGAAAGTAGAAGAAATTCAACAAAGTCAATAAGTTTGAATAAACCGACACATGTTTTATAAAGCATTGCTGGGAGATACTACAAATATAGATGCTTGCCCTGATAAAGATAAAACATTAAAAAGTTGGAATGTCATGCAACCCAGTACATAATAAAGATGCAATATGGATTAAAGAGACTGAGAAGAACATTGGTTGAATAGAAACAGATGATGCTTCATCAGAAATGAGTAAATAGTAAGCATCAAAGGTTAAGAATGGGAGAGTAACAGGAAAAGATCAACAAACCATGAAAGATTAGTTGCAAATTGTTTAAGGAAATATTACAAATTGGAAAAGTTGAAGAACGGATGACAGCTGGTAGAACATTTTTAATAATAATAAAGGAGAATATTTGTAGCTCAGAGTTGACATGAGGGGTCCTTGGTGCTCTTTGAGCTTGCTTGCAAGAAAACACAATTAGTTCTTTTAATAATAAAAGATAGAAGAAGCAATTACTTACCAAAAATGTTTGAGTGGCTAACTGTTATGTTAAGAATTGCAAGTTCAATTTACAAATACAAAATTCACAAGAAACTAAAGATTGATTGTGGATTGACAAATTGATACTAAAAAGACTTCAAATGAAGACAAAACCAACTTACAATTTATGACTTGGAATGATTATAAAAAGGCATTTGTTTCTTTTCCATCTAGTTTGATACAGACATCTTTGGCTGGTGCAATCATCCAGAATTTGATAAAAGAAGGTTTGAGGAAATGGAAAGCAATTTTAATGTTAAATGACAAAGAAACTGGGAATATAAACATCAGGAGCAGGCTTTTTCAAGGAGACTCATTGCCTCCATTGCCTTTTACCAACTCAATGATACCCCCTTATTTCTATCGCAAATAAGTAGATGTTATGCCGATTGACTGTATCTCGGGCCAAAAAAAAGGTGGAAGCTGTGGCGTACATATGTAAGACAGAAAACTGAAGAAGGAAAATATGGACTAAATGGTTACAGATAGTCCTCCACTTGTGTTCCAATATCTCAGGGGCTGCCACAAAGAAGAGGGAGTCAAGCTATTTTCCAAGGCACCTGAAAGCAGGACAAGAAGCAACGGATGGAAACTAACCAAAGAGAGAAGCAACCTAGAACTAAGCAGAAATTTCCTGACAGTTAAAACAATTAATCAGTGGAACAACCTGCCTCCAGAAGCGGTGAATGTGCCAACACTGGAAGTTTTTAAGAAGAAACTGGACAGCCATTTGTCTGAAATGGTATAGGGTTTCCTGCCTGAGCAGGGGGTTGGACTAGATGACCTCCAAGGTCCCTTCCAACTTTATTATTATTATTATTATTATTATTATTATTATTATTATTATTATTATTATTATTATTATTATTAATAATAATAATAATAATAATAATAATATTACTTACAATCTTTCAAAGTTACAATGGCACTGAAAAAAAAGTGACTTACAACCAGTTCTCACATTTTAAAAGCTGTTGCAACATCCCCACAGTCCTGTTATCAAAGTTCGGGCACTTGGCAGCTGGCATGGATATATGGTAGCTGCAACATCCCAGGATCATGCCATTTGCAACCTACCCAGCCGGCTTCTGACATGCAAAGTCAATAGGGGGGGAGGGAAATGCTGAATTTTCTTAACAACCACACAATTCACTTAACAAACGCAGTGATTCAATGAACAATTGCTGCGAAAATGGTCGTAAAACTCTGGCCCGCTTAACATCTAATTTTAGCAGTTGATATTCTGGTCCCAGGGACTACTTGTACATACAGCGAAGCAAGAAAAGAGAAAATGCTCATCATATTTTCCCCAAAAGGGTAGGAGAAGCAAAAAAATAACCATAGGAATGAATTATTGGAAACGATTTAGAAAACTGGAGACAAAACCATTCAATGGAAAATATATAAAAGAAACTGAAAATAGAGATGACAAGACCTGTTACAGGCTGACCCCCATCAGGAAAGATAGTTTTTGCAGTTCAATAAGAGGCATAATAAATAAATAAATAAATAAATAAATAAATAAATAAATAAATAAATAAATAAATAAATAAATAAATAAATAAATAAATAAATAAAAGATTCAATGTAACAGCAGCAAATATTACAAATATTGTAAAAAATAATAAAAAATAAAGCTATGGTTTATGTAATTAGTTGATGCACCAAAATAGTACTATTTGTAGACCCGCTATGTAAAAGGGAAGAGAATTCATCATTTTTGGTGTTGTTTTTTAGCATCTAGCTAGGGTGGATATTTTAATGTTAAATTTATTTGATATTTGAGTCATGTTTCCCCCCCCCCCCTTTTGGTACACTTTCCTTTTTGTTTTTGTTGTTCTTTGTGTTGAATGTATTTTTGTTGTTGTTTTTCTGTTTTTTATTTTATTTTTGTTGATAAAACAATATATATATATATATATATATATATATATAATGGTCAAATTGACTATAAACATCATGACAGCGTAGTCACCATGAGTAATTGGCATTTGTACAAAAATTATAATGTTTGAATTTCCTGAATGTGGCATAATCCCAACATTGAAAAAGTTACTGAAAATGGTTTTATAATTTTATGAGACTTTTTAATTGTTTTTTAAAAAATAATTAAAAAATCTTTATTAATTAAAAATCACAATTTAGAACACTATACATCAAATATAATAACTGAAAATATGTTTTATTTAATTATTTTTGTATTTCTTAACTGCCAATCTCCCTCAGATTAATTCTTTTAGATATGGCAATCTCCAGAAACAGCAGAGTCAAGCAGAAAGAATTGAAAAAAGTTACAATACATAAAGACTGAACAATCCAAATGCAGCGATTATAGAAAAGATCTTGCAAAATCATCCCTGTAGTTATTAGGACCTTAGCCAAAATTATGAATATCAACTGTGGATTTACAAAAAAATATAAATATAATGCAATATGAACCATCTTATTGGGTATATTACATCTTAGGACATTACTAGAATTTCTAAACACCAGTAATGTGTGACTATTTTTGTCGTTACTACTGTGTTATTCCTTGATAAATAAAAGCATAACAACAATAGGACCAAGTGTCTTAAAAAGTTGCAAAAACAAGATTGAAATTTTGTAGGATTTCAAAATTCAAACTGATAGGTACTTAGGGTATAAAATACACCAGTCATTACCATTATAGAAAAGAAGATGATGTGGTTTATTGTTTTGGCAATATCTGGAGACAACTGAATTGATGAAGAACAATTGGAGAAAATAACAAGATATGATTCACAGATTGGAGTTGGAAGATAATAGAGGAAGAAATGACTGTCATATCAATTGTAATTGGACTTCTTGGTATGATACGGCTTTTATTCATGGCCATGGAGAGGACATGCATGTTGCCACAAAAACATGGCAACGTTCACAGATCCCCGTGGCATTTTTGTGGAAATGACCATTTGTCTCCCACAGCGCCCAAGAATTTACTTCTAAGGTTCTGTGGAAAACTTGCAGAGGCCTACAAGTTTGACCTGTGCCATTCAAGTTGTTTTATTTATTCATTGAATTTATTTGCTGCCTATCTCCTAACGAAATAATTCAAGTTATCCACATGAACCCAGCTCAGATATCTGAGGTTGTAACCCTATTCCAATGAGATTTCTGAGTTATCATGGATTGTAATATAAGGCTGTAATCCACATAATTGTTACTTGGAACTTGCTTCCACCATAATTGAGCTGCTAAATATTATCAGAAAGCAACTTGGTTAAATTCTTTGCAATCAGTAAAATTATTTGTCTTTGAAGAAAAGGCAAGGCTCTTTGAATTAACTTTGAAAAATGTAGCTTTTTTCCTTCCCCATCACTTTGCCCCCTAATCTGTCATTAAAGCCCTGAGAAATCACAAAAATAAACAGTCAAATTCCATTCAGTTGGGAGTACAACTTGTGTAAGCAGCATGTGAAAGTTCTGTTTACAGAAGTTCATTAGGTCAAGGATCCCAGTCTTTAAACCCAAAACAAATTACCTCCTAACTTTTATAAACAAATTGCATGTAGCACATTAATCAGCAAATCAACAGGTTCTCAAGGGTTTTGAGTTAATTCAATCATCAAGACACTTTAGCCAAGGGAGAGGGGGAAAAAATACTGAATAAAATATTATGTTTTTCAATTGCTTTAACAGACAAAATGCAAACATTGCCTTGGTGTACTATAGTCATTAAACAGCTGCCCTTGGGAAGGAATCCTGATTATGAACAACGAAATAAAACAGGAGACCCTTGATTGACAAAGAACAAGGGGATAAAAATAAATCATATCCTACCTGGAAGACATTCTTTTTGCTAGATTTTTCCTTGGTCCACTCAATCTGAGCTCCACACAAGTCCAGCCACTCAGGTTTGGTCCCTTTCTGTCAATAAAGAATGTTGAGAATGAATTGACTGTTGCTTCCAAAGATGTTGGTGAATTAATTGATCAAGTTCACCTGGGCCACCTGTTCACCATATTGGATGTCCCTCTTCAAATTTTCCACAGGAATTCTTATGAACCCACTCTTAATATACGTTGCCCAATTCATACGTTACTTATACAAAGTCCTCCAAAATATTGGTTAATAGCTCCTAGGAAACTGCAACATCTACATTAGCTTTATTGTGACCAAACACCCCCCCCCCAAATAATGTGTTTTTAATCTTAGAAAAAAAACATAAACTTAACTTTGTTTTATAAAAACTCAAGCAGACACAGCTCAGCTTAGACTTTGCAAGTAATGTTGGGCTAAGCCTATTTCTCTGTTCTGAATGCCTCTTTCTCTGTCAATGTTTGTTCCACTGAAGGTCTTGCTTGTGGGGAAAAGGTATCTACCAAGTCATGATCATGTGTTGAGTTTGTTATAACTCAGCCAAAGCCTAAAGCCTCTGAGTACAAGCAGTCATCTTAACTACAGGCTTCCTCCCAAAGGCTTCTTCCCACAGCTCTTAACTCTGTGTTTCTCGCCCTGCTGGAATTATTTGAGCCAGATGTAAGTAATAACATTTCCAAGTCCTACATACTTATCAATCAGGCTATTCCCTTTCAGACTAAGCGGTATTAGGAACAGTACAAAGCAAAAGTGAGAAATAATAAGGCAAAGAAATTAAAGGCAGGAAGTACACTATTCAGTATAGTTTTCCATGTCTGTTTTTTGCAAAACATTTGTCCTTCCATTGCGCCATAGACTTCTTTACTTTTTAAACTTCTCATCTTTCTCTTCTTGAAGATTTTAAAAAGACATCTATTCAACCACAACTTTCTAATTCTTCCTCTTCCATTCAACCTATTCACTCTTCCTATAGTAATAGTTGCTTTGCCATTTGCATTTGACCCATTGCCGCTTGATCCTACCCACATCCCCAACCAACACTTCTAGATACCCAACAGGCATTCCTTAAACATTCATCTATTTATTTTATTTACCTAAAACAACTGCGGGGATATCAAACAGCTTTGTCCTTGCTAAATGTTGAGCTATTCACTAGGCATTCCACTGATTTTCATGCATCATGTATTGCTTTAATCATATTCAGCAGCAATTTTCAACTCCATATTTATACACACTCTTCCATAATCCAAGCCTATTCATTTTACCCTATACTTTTCTTTCAATTAACAAACATACTTTTCTCACATTAATACATCTATCAATGTCCTGATAAATAAATAAATAAATAAATAATCTGGTCTGTATTCTCATCCCCAACCCCCACTGTATGACATAAAAGCACAATGCATTTTTCGTATTTTAATCCGTCAACTCTTCTACCTTTTTTATCAGATTTATCTCAAATACCTTCCCAGAGCCACATAATTCTGTAGTTTTTGCATTCATTTCTGTTACTCATATCTTTGTACACACAAACAATAGAAGCATTCTTCCAATGGCCTGGCACAGATGCAATGATGGCACACACATATTAAACAACTTGCACAATCTCTCCATAAGCATCATATATTCATACTTCAAAATTCTTCTAGTGATACCACCACCATTTTCCCAACATCCTTCAAGCATTTATAACTTCTTTTTCATCACTTCTTGGACGCAGGCATTTATTGTACTGATTTCAATTCTAATTTTCAACATACATTGTGTTTTCTTGTATTACGTATTTTCTCACGCCTACCAAAAAGCTCTGTGTTTACTCTCCCAATTGCTTTTCTTCTTTTTGACGATATTCTTTGCAAATGACTTCTTCTTTCTTTTGCACTCAGTATTTTGCTTTCATGCTTATTTTTACAGCATTTCCTTTTCATTCGCAACCTACTTCACTGTATCATTCTGCCAAACATCCTTTTACATACTTTTTCATTAGTATGAATATAGTCTGGGGTGCTATATAACATAACTGTTTTCATGTTTATCCAAGTACTTTCCACATCTTTGTACTCTTATCATCCATCACCGAATATCTTTTTATATACCTTGCAGTTATAGTTTCTTTAGTTTCTGTCCTTTTATTCCATGTCAATAGTTTCCCAAGATCCAGTTTTGACAACGTCTGATAATGGCCCATCTCATATTCAAAATCCCTTATCACCTTCTTATCGTCCACTGAATCTTTCTCAATTTTTTCCATCCTAAACAATCAGCTCAGCCATCCTTTTAGGTGTATATTCATTCCTTTACTGTGTGTATAAACGTGGCCTTTGGTTTTTAGTGGCCTGGTGTGGCTTCTCTTGTGCTGGAGTGACACAGCCTTTGGAGCAAGGAAAGAGGAGAAGAAGCCCAGTTCCAGCCTAGAAGGGCAGCTATGCTGTCCTGGAACATAGAATCACAGGGCACGAAGGGATCTTGGAGGTCTTTTGGTCATGAGGGCAGATGAGCTGACCTGGCAGCTAGCTAGGGCTGTTGTGGGGAGAGGTAGGACAGCAGTCCCATTGTCCAGTTTGGTATGTAGTGTTGGGGACTAGACCCCTGGAAGAGGGGGACAGTTTGGGGCAGTGATAAAACCCATTTATTTATTGCAAAGTGCCAGGGCCGCATCAGCATTGTGGTGCCCTCAGGGGGTGTGGAGATATGTGGCTCACAGCAGAGTTGGTGAGTGTGACCGGGGTGGGTGTGGCCATCTCGAATTTGTTTGTGAAGGGGATGCCTTTGGGGTCGGGCAGGGTTGGGGGAGATCCAGGGGGTCTCTGGCAGGTAGAACAGTGGGCAGCAGGCTCGTCCTGCAGAGTAAGGCAGGGGGCAGGGCAGGGTGCCATTGCCGTGGGGTAAGGAAAGGAAAGGCAGGGCCCCCGCACACAGAGGCCAGCGAGCACATGGGGGCCAATGGTGTCTGTCAGCAGCCACAGCCTACCGGTGCCTCAACCGGTGCACTCTGGGGCTCTATAGCCTGCTGCCAATATCGAGCCAGCCCTCCAGCAGCAGGCGGAATAGGGGAGGGGGGAGGCACATGATGCAGACCACTGGATGCACCTATTCCATCCCATCTGTTTTTGCTTGTGGTTGGAGAGCAGGTCGCTGCTGGTCATCTCGGCCTCCTCACAGATCTTGCCCTTGGCCTGTGTGTGGAGCCTGTTCCCCTCGCACACCCGACGCACCTTGGCCCCACCTCGGGCTACTGCTGCTGCCAGCAGCTCATGCAGGTCCATTAGGCTGCCGCTGCCACCCAGAGTGCCTTGCTCGCCCAGCACAAAGGAGGCAAAACGGCTGGCTAGCAAGCTTGAGTAGAGGTGGTAGAGCATGCCCATGCCCAGGAAGCCAAAGGCCACCCCGAGCAGGGAAAGCCAGATCTCCATCTGCGCCATGGCCCCCCAGCCCCAGCTAGGATTGCATGCCTCCCCCCATCTCTGCTGGCCTGGGCAGCATGACGCTGATGGGAATCCAGCTTTTCCCACTCGGCGTGGCCTTTTGCCTGCTGGCCCTTAAACTTCTTCTTAAACTGTGATGTCCCAAGCTTGGCACAGAACTTGAACTTGACTACAGGTTGTCCTCCATTTACGACCACAATTGAGTCCAAAGTTTGTGTCGTTAAATGACATCGTAAATATGGGCCATTTGCCAAGCATCAGAATTTTGATCATGTGAATATGGGATGCTGCAATGGCCTTAAGTGTGAAAAACAGTCATAAATCACTTTTTTCTGTGCTATTGTCACTTAGAGCAATCAAGTCTTCTAATCCAACCCCCTGCTCAAGCATGATAGCCTATACCAGGGGTCTGCAACCTTGACAACTTTAAGACTTGTGGAGTTCAGCTCCTAGAATTCCTCAGCTATACTGGCTGAGGAATTCTGGGAACTGAAGTCCACAAGTCTTAAAGTTGTCAAGGTTGCAGACCCCTGCCCGATACCATTCCAGACAAATGGATATCCAGTCTCTTCTTAAAAACGTCCTGTGATGCAGCACCCACAACTTCTGCGTGAGGCAGGATTAGAACTCACAATCTCCTAATTTCTAGCCTTGTGCTTTAACCACCATACCAAACTGGTTCTCCCAATCAGGGTAAGAACTGTCCTTTCTCCCAGGCACAGGGATAGAAGGATTGTATAGATCAGGGGTAGGCAACCTTGACTCTTTTATGACTGGTGGACTTCAACTCTCAGAATTCCTGAGCCAGCATGGCTCAGCTTGGAAACCTCTCCCTTTCCCCTCAGCATGGCTGGCTCAGGAATTCTGGGAGTTGAAGTCCACCAGTCATAAAAGAGCCAAGGTTGCCTACCCCTGGTATAGATGAATGCCCAGAGATGGTGGAATAGCTGCCTGTTTTTTCTTGGAGGGCTGGGTTTGGGCAGAGTATTGATGTGACCTTCCCAGAGTTGTGTTTTACAAGATAAGTGTCCATATAAATCTTTTAAATAACTAAATAAATGTCCTTGCTTTGTATTTTGCAATCAGGTCAATTATGTTCTATCAAAACAGTTGGAAGAAATAGTTCTTGTAAACTGTTAAAAGTGTCCTTTACATTTAAGTCCTGTTCTTGTGAATATGGATGTAGAGAGCATTTTTGTCCAGCAAATTAGTTTGCACAAGGACTAACAGCCTGAGCTCTGTTACTATCTGCTGAAGTTTCTGGAGGCTAAAAAATGCATACTGGGCTAGCATTTCATGTCAAAACAGAAATTTGCTTAAAAAGAGATGGTCTTCAGAGAACATTGCTAACAGCTGTATGTAAAGAAGGCATAGCAACCTAATATTTTATAACAGAGACAGGTCAGCCTGTGATAAAGTTAAGAGTGGCCAGTTGAAAATGTTTCCTTCAAATCGGTATACAGGTAGTCCTTGACTTATGACCACAATTGAGCTTAAAATTTCCGTTGCTAAGTGCGGTAGTTGTGAAGTGAGCTTTGCCCCATTTTACAACCTCTCTTGACACAGTTGCTAAGTGAATCGACACAGTTGTTAAATTAGTAACTCGGTGGTTAAGTGAACCTGGCTTCTCTATTTGACTTTGCTTACCAGAAGGTCGCAAAAGGTGATCACGTGACCCCAGGCCATTGCAACTGTCATAAATATGAACCAGTTGCCAAGCATCCACATTTTGATCATGTGACCGTGGGGATGCTGCAAATGGTCATAAGTGTGAAAGACAATCATAAGTCACTTTTTTCAGTGCTGTTGTAACTTTGAATAGTCGCTAGTCACTAAATGAACTGTTGCAATTACCTATAAAATATAGTGTTCCTGTTATTTACTTACAGTACCTATCTACCTACCTACCTATCTACATCTTAGGCATTGACAGGCACACAACTTTTCCAATTATGATGGCCCATTTCCCAAGATGTCCCAGGGTTAGTGTGCTCCATGTACTTTCAATTAAACAGTGTTATTCAATAGGAGCTAGGAGGCGTCCTTCTCTGTTGCTGTGCTTGCTCTGGGGTTCTTTTCCAAAAATCCTGAGCCAGAAGTTTCTGGAGGCTAAAAAATGCATTTTAAAATGGTATATTCATTAGGGCAAGGCTTTTCAACCTTTTCACCCTTTGTACCACTTTTAGGATATGGCAACATCCAAGTACCACCAGTCGCCTAGCAAGGTGTCAAAAACTTGATGACCAAAAAAAAAAAAAAGGAAAAAAGTGATAAAGTACAGGTAGTCCTTGACTTACAACTGTTCGCTTAGTGATTGTTCAAAGTTACAATGGCACTGAAAAAAGTGCTCCCCAAGCCACAGCCGAGCAAGACACCTGCCTGCCCACCCAGCGGCGCTCTTCCTCCTGTCCAAGGTTTTCATTGTTGTGAGCATTTCTGTTGAGGATTGGCAGCAGGGATGGGGTGGGGGGTGTTTGGTTTTTATTCCCCCCGTCTGCTGGGTGGTTGCAGCAGGTTTTGATCACTTCACATGACCGTGGGACACTGTGACCATCATAAATATGAATCAGTTGCCAAGCATCTGAATGTAAATCACAAGACCCTGGAGATGCTGCAACATTCCAGCTGATTGGTGCTTCTTCAGGGCTCAGTAGAAGCACAGGATCAGCGCAGAGCTCCAGCTGGAGCCTGGCGCTGATCCTGGCACTGATCCTGGCACTTCCGCTGAGTCCTGACAGCCCTGCAGCTCCAGCCATCTCTCGCTCAGGCTTGTGCGGTGCTGCCACCGGTTTAGCTCATTCTCCTTCCCCGCTACCACTTTTCTAGGATGGTCCCATACCACCTGCCAGGTGCCAATGTACCACAGGTGGCACCAGTATCACTGGTTGAAAAGCCCTGCATTAGGGATGAATAAGAGGGACAGATATCTTTTTAATTAATACCTCTGTTATCTTGCTGATGTTTTTAGTTGTTTGGTAACCACCCAGCCACATGGTGAGGACTGGATGGCCGTTAATTAAATAATTAAATCAATTTGTAACAATCCTGTTAACTGTCCTGTTAACTAAAACTGGCACAAATGTCAAATGTTCTACCTGATGAAATATCTACTCTCAATAAAACCAGAGTTCGCGGAATGGAGTCTGAAAATGGAAGTCTGTGTGAATGCCGTTTTGCTTCATATTTTGTATTTATAACATAGCCTTTAATCAAGAACTAATGAATTAATTTATTTCTAAGTAGAGTATATATATCCACCTTTATGGAAAAATCACAGTATTTTCATTGTAAAATTGTTATGTTATTAAATTCATACTGCATCGAACAAACATCGACTTCATTACGTTATTGAATTAATGGTTGGATTCTTTCATTCTCCAAAATAAACCGTTCTTAAAAGTAAAATTGGTAAACAATTTTTAATCAGATCAGAAGTATAGGTTTATTTCCTTTGTGCTATCAAAAATTACGGCAGGATGATTTTTTTAAAAGAAAAGAAAAGAAAAGAAAATCACATTAATCTGCATCAGAAGCAAATAAGCTTGTCTCCAGAGTTCAAACTTTTTTTTCCTGCTAGGCCTGTAATAGTAAAAAAAAATATCTTATTACATTATTAACAGGCATACTTTGACAATGAGAGAATTCAGCCATTAATAAAACAATGTAACGAAACAGAAAGGCTAACCTCTATAGTGCAGAAATGTTTGGTCATTGTTTTATTTACTGTCGACTGAATATGGTGTACATTTATTTCTGTTCTATTGTAGTTTCTAAGGAAAAGTAAGTCATTTAAAAAAAAATACACTTTATTATGGATTTTCCAGTGCATATGTTGAAAATACCAAAGAGAGAGTGGATTTACAAAGAGGATAAAACTGATTCTGGGGTAAGAGTGACAGGCAGTCCTCAGGTTACAACCATTCTTTTAGTGACTGAAGTTACAAGGGTGTTGAAAAAAGTGTCTTACAATCAGCCCTCATACAACCGTCTCAGCAGGCCCATGGTCACATGAACAAAATTCACAAGTTTGGAAACTGGCATGTATTTATGATGGTTACAGTGTCCTGGGGTCACATTTGCAACTTTTCTAACCAGCAAAATCAGCAGGGGGAAGCCAGATTGACTTAACAACCATGTGATTAATTTAATGATCACAGCAAAAAGACTATAAAATTGGATACAACTCAATTAACAACCATCTTGCTTAATGATACATATTTCAGTCCTAATTATGATCGTAAATCAAGGACTATCTACCGTGTTTTCCCAAAAATAAGACCTACCCCCAAAATAAGCCCTACTTATTTGCTAAGACACAAAGTGAGGTGAAGCAGGGAAGATGGGGGAGCTGCCCCTCGTGCCCCACACCTGCTTACTGTGCCCCAGGGCTCTTACAGCTGTTGTCGATGCAAGGCAGTTTCCACCGTTGCCACCGCCGCCATGAGGCGCATTACAGGACATACTTCACAGTGGCGGCAATGGCAGCAGTATGTGCCTCATGGCGGCAGCAGCACACACTTCACAGTGGCATGATGTGCCTCATGGCAGCAACAATGACAGCAGGACGCGCCTTGTGACACAGTAAGCAGGTGTGGGGCGCGTGGGGCAGCTCCCCCTCATGGCGGTGGCAATGGCAGCAGGACATGACTTGCAGTGGCAGCGGCAATGGTGACAGGATATGCCTTGTGCTGGTGGTGGCTGCAGCGCAACAGGCCTCGCTGCGGCAATAGCAGCAGGAGGCCTGTAGCACAGTAAGCAGGTGCGGAGCATGTGGGGGCAGTTCCTGGAAAAAAATAAGACATTCACCAAAAATAAGACCTAATGCCTCTTTTAGAGGCAAAAATAATATAAGACTGGGTCTTATTTTTGGGGAAACACCGTATATCTTATCTCTCAATTGGCTTTGTGATATCACATAATGAAATCTAATTTTCAGTGGTTCATCATAGAAGTTGGGAGGTGTGAAGAATGGAACCAATCCATCATGTTACTTATGTAACAAGGGCACAGCCCTTGTGGTCCTTTGGAATATACCAAAGTGGCACTACGGAAATTCAGGAGCAAAACTGCTAGTTTTTCCTGGTAAGGATGGTTTTGGTTTGTTTTGATTTGCCAAAATAAAGGCCAAATTAATGCATGCTGTTTGCTCCTTATTTCCTGAGTGCTTTTGGAACTTCCACAAACAAAATTGATGATTTAACCCTGCCTCCTCACTTCTGCAATGTTATCTCAGAAAAAGAGAGTGGGGGGGAGGAGAGGAAGGGAGGGAGGGGGGAAGCCTCAAAATATTTTTGGGATCCTTGAGCACCACATTCAAAGCCATTTCCATATTTTGCTACTGATTTTGTTTAAAATTATAACCATTTACCCTCTATTTCCTTATTTTAGCTGTAGTTGGCTGTTTCTGGATTGCTACTCTTATTCACATTTTAATAAATTAAGTAAACAACAGAAAAGTTAAAACAAGCAAAAAAGGAAGTGAATACATACTCATTTTTAAAATAAACATTACATTAGCATAAACCATATGATGGCTATAAAAAAATTAAAAAGGCAAAAAAGTGAACAAAAATAAAAACAAACAAACATTCTAATAGCTCCCTTCTTTTTTTTTCACTCATATTTTTCTTCTCTCTCTCCCCCCCCCCCCCTCATTTTTCTGCCTTCCTTTTCTAGCTGCTAATAGATAATTATACATTTTTATACTGGTACTTTGGAATTTTTTTTCTGGATTGTTCTTCTTTTTGAAATCCAGAGAAAAAGACATTCGTTCTAGCTTGGAAAAGAAACAGGCCATGGTTATTTCCCCAATGTTTCCACAAAGGCACGATCAGCAGCCTCTCCTTGAGGTACATTAAAAAAATAAAGCACAGTGAATTCTGCTTAGAGATGCATTAAGTCTATTAGATGGAATCATAAGGCGCATTCAGAAAATGTTAGGCAGAAACAGAAAATGTCACATTTATATGAAGATAAAAATCACTTTGTTAAGTTACACTGTTTTGCTCTTTGGTAACACCCTGTATTAAGGTGCAATTTATAACTACTTTATTATTATTTATGATATGCAAGGCGCTTTATAGCAAGCTCAATAGCAACTTAAATTCATGTATTAAAGATGCAAACAGTCCCAAATTATGTTAAATGTAGAATATTATAAGAAACATTGTCTAAGAGTAGCGTAGTAGACAATTCGTAAATAATGATTACGTAAAATATTGTGTGAAATATTATGTAATGAACTCCTTCATCAACGTAAATCTCTAGTAAAGTATTTATTCTTATTTCGTAAATATTGACCGTGGAATTAAATTTCGCAATGGAGGGCATTACGAGAGAGCCACTCACCATCCGTCTCACTTTGCAATTATTCTCCAAAAGCACCTCTTAATAAAAGATATGCTGAGTTCTCTTTCCCTTTCCTCTCTCATCTGATTAAAAGTTTATTGAGCCATTTTCTTACATCTGCTCTCAGAAGTCTGAGGCTTAGCAACTCTGCAATTTTTTTTTTTTATCATGCCGAACTTTTTTTTTCAATAGCACTTCCGAAAAGATGAGACATGAGAAAGACAACTGCTTACCAGATTGGGCACAGCTGGCTGTTTGGATTCCTTATAAAATTCTATTTTTCGTCCAGTGAGAACAATCCAAGAAGTAGTCCAGTTTTTCCTTAAATGTAATATATAAAGAAATGCATCCATTAAACTCATGAGGACCATAACTGCTTCTGTAGACTAGCATTCCAAAACGTCCATGACTTGGAGAAGTAGCAGACAAATATATATATTAAATAAATTGAAGGCAAAAAAATATACACGGGAGAAGCTGAGAAAGAGAAGGAGAAGGAAGAGAAAGAAAAGAAGAAAGAAGAGAAGGAGAAGGAAGAGGAAGAGGAAAAATTTCAGCATCTAAAAGGTAAATGTCCATTTTTATCACCTTCATCTACCAATACTTCTTTGACATGAATTCAGTTTTTAAAATTGGATAGTATCAGAAAATGCAGGTAAGAACAATCTCAGTATCCCATAAAAATCTATTTATCTGGGATCTACTGGAAAAAAAATTCAAATGTTTGTAGGATTGCAGCTAAGACATAAAAAAGGGAAGAGGATTACTCATTGTTTTGGATGTAGCTATCGCAATCTTAATTTAATATATTAAATTAATATATTATTATGTTACATATTATAATATATATTGTTAATATATATTATTATTAAATTTAATTTAATGATAAGAGCACTGAAATTTTCCAAGTCTGGACTTCTTAGATTAATAAGATACTAGGGTGCTGGTCCATGAAGCAAGGTTTTTTTCAACAGCTAGCAAATTTATATTTTTACATTTATATTTATTAAGTTATATGTGACATAAATCCACACACACACCCTGGACCACTATCCAGATGTGAGTTCAGAGGAGGAGGGTGAGTTTGAGTCTGAAGAGGAAAGTGTGGAGCCAAGCATTGGTCAGGATCAGGGCTCAGAGAACGCTAGCTTGATGGCACAGCCTCAGCTGGGTCGATCCGATCAGCAAAAGGCTGAGGCCAAAGCCAAGGCCGAGGCTGACGGATGTGAGTCACAGCTGCAGCAAGTGGGCCAGGAGCCTCCAGGTGAGGATGGGGAGCAGCTGCCACCTCTTAGCAATGAGGAGGAAGTGGAGTTCACACCTCCTCCTTATTCAAGGATACTTGCAGCAGAGAGGAGACAAGACTACTCATGAGGAGGCAACCTCTCCTCTCATGAAGGGCTTCACCGGCATTGCCTACTTAATCCCACCCTGAGGACTTAAGTGTTGCTGAGAATAAAGTGCCCAGTCCTGTGCCTTATGTGCTCATGCACTCATAGAATAGAATAGAGCTGGAAGGGGCCTTGGAGGTCTTCTAGTCCAGCCCCCTGCTCGAGCAGGAGAACCATGCTATGTATCCTGACCCATTTGACTTGTGGACTGCTTTCTTGGACTTCATGTGGGCCCATTGATCTTGGTTACCCAATGACTTTTGCAGCACTGAACTTGGAATCCGGACCCGCGCAACAGGAGTGCTTTCTGAGGACCTATTTGGGGGGGAGGATGTTTGAATAAACACCTGAGGAACACTTGCCATATGTGCGTGGGGCAGCACAATATGAGAGTACAGGCAAAAGGTACTTTTCACAAGGTAAAAGTAACCTTAATGAATACTTGAAATAATACAAGAGCAATTAAAATATAAAATAATAAAAAATATAACAATACCTAATTATAAAATAATGTAAATTTCAAGATTAATAATTACAACATTACAACATTAACCCCAAGTCTGCCTTACAGCAGTTACTACTGAATGGAATTTAGCAACCTTCCTGAGGCCTTATTAGAACAGGGTGCCAAGATTGATGCATCAATCAATGCAGCAAAACATTGATGCATCAATCAATGCAGCAAAACAATCAATCAATGCAGCAAAACATCGTGGAGACCAGTTTTGGTCTCCACGATGTAAAATTGATGTTGAGACTCCATGGAAGAGTGCAGAGAAGAGCAACAAATATGATTAGAGGACTGGAAGCTAAAATATATGAAGAACAGTTGCAGGAATTGGATGTGTCTAATCTGATGGAAAGGACGAGGGGTGACATGATAGCAGTGTTCCAATATCTAAGGGGTTGCCACAAAGAAGAGGAGATCAACCTATTCTCCAAAGTACCTGAAGGCAGGACAAGAAGCAATGGATGGAAACTAATCAAGGAGAGAACCAACCTACAACTAAGGGAAATTTCCTGACAGTGAGAACAATCAGTGGAACAGCTTGCCTTCAGAAGCTGTGGTGCTGCATCACTGGAGGTTGGACAACTATTTGTCTGAAATAGTATAGGATTTCCTGCTTGAGCAGGGAGTTGAACTAGAAGACTTCCAAGATCCTTTCCAACTCTATTATCCTGTTAACTAATTTATCTGATCCCTGCAAAGTGGGCACAGTTAGTTTGTAAAGGGACATTGAACCATAGATGGCATGATATTAAACCTAGCAAACAAACATGCTCTTGTGTGCAAAACAATATTTGAGAGAGCTGACTTACCATAGTGGGCAGTTACAGTGCAGCGTTTTGGTAAATCAACACACTGCTTGAACTCCAAAGAGACTTTCTCATATCCTTGTTGGAGCAAGAATTGAGCCTGACAAGCAACAATTACTTAAGTATTTTCTATTCTTTTTTCAAGGAGGAAGCAAATTTGACGATGACAAGAAGTGGGGGACAGGTGAACAGAGCCTCCTGTGCAGTTTAGTTTTATCCAATATCTGCCAAATTTTCAAACATGCCTTTATAGAGGAAACAGAATATTTGACATATAACTCAAAGGACGCAGAAGAGTAGCACTTAACAGAATACAGAATAACAGCATTGGAAGGGACTTTGGAGGTCTTCAAGACCCCCTTGCTCAAGCAGAAGACTCTATACCATTTCAGACAAGTGGCTATCTCGTTGCATATTTATCCATTTGTCCATTTGTCCATATTTATCCATTTCTTGTATGAAGAAATGGATAAATGCTTGTATGAAGAGACCGCTCAGATGCTTGTATGAAGAGACCGCTGTGCCATTCAGCAGAAGGCCCAATACCTTGCCCTTACAAAATGTTATAATTGTAGAAACTAAATAATTGTCTAGGCACACAGGAAAACAAAGTATTTCATTAGATAGCCTTAAGGCTCAAATTATGACAATTTTTGTTTGGTTTTCCCAACTTAGGGAAGATTGGATGATGATTTCCAAATATTTATTTTCCAATTATGCTTGTAATTACTGTGTCTCTTAGTAAACACTTTAGTTTTCATGTGACTTATGTTCAGTTTTCTTTGCTTTCTCTTGCATACTCTGCCTTAGGCCCACTGGTCAGAGATAAAGTCACTGCATCATCAAGACCTAAAATTATATTAAAATTAACTACAGACGCAGAGCCCTCTGAAGGACTCACAAAGCACTATATAAATAAATTATCATTTTCTCCATCAAGAGAAAACAGTTCTGCCAAAGCAGTTTTACACATGTGCAGATGGATGAATGACAGCAACCATGCAACAGGGAGGGAGGGAGGGAACGGGAGAGAGAGAGAGAGAGAGAGAGAGAGAGAGAGAGAGAGAGAGAGAGAGAGAGAGAGAGAGAG